TTCTCTTATTTTGTGTTTTCACTATTGGACATTTGAATGTTGTAGATAAGAAAAATGTGCAGTGAGTAGGTTCTGTTTATTCAATGAAGATGAAGTCTACAACTGGAACTAAACTCCTGTATCCCTGGGGAAGGGGCTGTGCTGGTGAACAGGTGTGCTGTGACAACAACCCTTTTCAAGGCAGCTTTGAAGCGTGCCTGGTGTGGGCTGTTTTGGCACCCAGGACTTCTTGACCTCCTGAACCGTTAGTGGTTTTGAATGCCTGCCAGCGTGGGGTAGAGTCCAGAAGCAGTGTCCTCAGGCTGATGGATTTACTGTGTATCAAGTTAGTGTAAGTCATCACATGAACCTCCCCTTCGTCCAGGTTATCAGCTGATCCCCTGTCTGCTGTTCTCTCCTCTCCTGTTTCTGAGGTGCTTCACACTGGCCATGTTGAGGCAGAGTGCTGGATCCTTAACTGTGGCCCTGCACTTCTGTTTGAATGTTCAGCTTGAGCTGGAGTGGGTCTGTCATCCTGGGGATGGAACACAGACTTTTGGGTAAAACCTGTGCTTGGAGAGTGGGGAGGACACTGAAGGAAGTTGTGGCTCTCTGGTCACGGCAGTGACTTTTGCTTTGTGGGCTCAGGCACTGAGTGCTCTCTGAATGTTTTCCATGAGCGTGGAGCTCAACTGTGCCTGGTGACAGGTTTTGTACAGTAAGAGCTTCTCTGTCTGGGACCCAGAGAATCTCTGAGTCCCTGTGTGGTGAACATACTGATAAAGCACGGGTCGGGACAGACGACAGCAGGTTGGATGTAAAGATGGACAATGAAGAGGTGACAGGACTGGATGTTAATCTTTGCTTAGCTGTCAGTATTTTTAGCAAGAGTAGCATAAATTACCATATGACTAATTTTCCAGATGCTCGTGGTGGCACGTGCCATAGGAGTCTTAAATTATCATGTGTGCTTTCAAAGCCCTCCCAGTCCTATCTCCGTGTAGGAATTGATGTTCATAGATTTTAAAGAGTGCTTTCATTGGTCTGCTTGTTAAGTTGAATGTTAACACAAAACTAAAATGTTGTATGTTTTCCTCATTGTTTCCTTTAAAAAGAGGATACTTCTAAAAAAATAACTTGAGATTCGTCTCAGATTGTTCATTTTGAAGTGCCAGTAGTGAAACTTTGGACTCTGTATGTGTATATTCAGAGAACTTTGGGGAAAAATTGAAAACAGGAGAAACTAAGTACTACTGAGATTTCAGGACTGCAATTTTTACAGAAAACAAACAGATGTGAAAGTAGTACCCACCCTCCTGTTCTTGTGATTCAAGTTACAGCACTTCCAGACTATAGAATGTACTACATTTCTCTCCCCTCTACCTTCAGAGAGAAATAAGGTGGAGAGCACAGAAATATTACCAAAATGTCAGTCTGTTTTGACTCAGGCTTTGGTTAATGACAAAGAGTTGCTGTGCTGTAAAGGCTTTCCAATGGCACGATATTTGGAGTGTGAGGAGGGTCACAGGTGTGCCACCAGAAGTCCCAGTTAATACAGGCGCTGGTGTCCACACTCAGAGAGGGCACTGATGTGCAGCCTGGAATTCAGGCTTATGTGCTTTAGCAGATGCTTTGGATTCTGGTACCCTGATGTCAAACTCCTTGGTTTAGGATTTCATTATCTAATTCTACTGTGCTTCAGTCTTTCATTGCTCCTTCACAGGGCCTTGGCTTAGCCTCAGATTACATAATTTACTGAGTTGCCAACTTTTTCGTGTTCTTTTTTGTGGATGATCACGCTACAGAATAAGAGATCAAATATTGAAGTCTTCTGGGCATTCATAATGGATGCCATTGCAAGAACCCCTCAATTAAAAATCATGGGATTAAAAAAGTGGTAGACCTTCAACAAAGAGTTACTTCTCAAAAATTATCAGGATGCTGTTCTTAAAAACTAATGACTGCTTTTTCAGTGCTCGCAACAGTTTGCAAGGTCACATCTGACTGATTCTCAGCATAAACAGTATCTGTCCCTGGTTTCAGTATGCAAATTAGGGATGCACAAAGTATTTGGGAGTTCCTGTTGCAGATTGCCACAGTTCTGACAGACTTCACTGAGAACCCAAATGGTTTCTGGAAGGCTGAGGCCATTAGCAAAGAAAATGAGCAAGTTGTTTTCTTGAGCACGTCTGTCTCTGCACAAAAGCTGCTTAATTTTCCGTGCAGCCTCTCGACTAATACCAGCTTAGCAGCTGAGAGGATTTGATTAGTTACCAGCAGTTACACACTGGTAGTAAATAATTGTTATGTAGATTAAACAGAACTTCTAGCAAGTCAGCTGTGGAGCCTGATTGCGTTCTGTTTAAGGTGTGGGGTTTGGTTAGGTTAAGAAGACTCGAACATAAAATGTGTGTTGAAGTGGCTGTGAAAAAAGGGTGCTGGATTTCTGTGAATTGCACTTGCCCTTGCTCTGCCTGGCTTGTTTTCCTGCACCAGGAGGTGCATCCATGAAGTTTGGGCCCCAGTGTGCTCTTGCAGTGCTGAAGCACAGGGTGCTATGCTGTGGCACCAGAGCCCGTCAGCAGTTGTCTTGGGCTCCTCTTCCAGTTTGGGCCATGGCACATTGCCAGTGCTTTCAGACATCTGTGGTTCACCAGTTCTCTGGAACTGTAAAAGCAATATCAGTGTTTTTCCTACCCCTTGTTCTGCAGCTGTTCTGAAGTAACTACAAAGTTTTTTGTCTGATTTGCTTCCTTAGTATTATTCAGCTTTACATTCCCAAATGAAATATTTGAAGATTGCAGTTAGTGTGTACTAAAAATTTTTTTCTTATACTTGCTGTTGTATCCCCTTTTAAACCAAGTCTATAAATAGAAAATTATTTTAAAGACAGGACAACTTTCAAGTATCACATAACTTAGAAATGAAATGAAGCAACCCACAGTTTGATTAGATGGTAATTGAAGTTAGAAATAGCTTTTTATAGCTCTGGCACTAAATCACGAGAGTACAATCCTGTCCTGTTGGGATTATACATGTGAATTTGAGAACAACTGGTTTGTCTGAGACCAGAGGATATATGATATATGGGAAAAACAGTACCTCACCCAGAATGCTGCCAAACAGAATACTCTCAAAACCTCACCCAGAATGCTGCTTTTCTTTCCTAAGTGATTAGTTCAGACTTCACACAGGGATCTGTTCTTGCACGGGTTGTTAATTTGTAGGACTCTTATCAATGTCTTACGTTGGTCGTGAATGTGGAAAAAACACTTGCAAGAAATACTTCAAAGTTATTGGTGCTGACACGAGGCTGGAAAAGGGACCTTTAAATTGTATGTGGGTCAACAGCTCAGCAGAGCAGGCATGAAGACAGGCAGGGTAATGTGGTGGTGTGCTGCTCTCTGAGCTCCACAGTCTGCAGGAATGCCTGTCCAGAAAATGAAGGTGGAAAAGGATTTTGAGAGTGTGTGATAAACCAGCTCTGTCTGAGGTCTGGAATGGGGGGAGGCACTGCTTTTAACAGTGTTGGGTTGGGCTCAGTTGCAGCACAAGCACGGCCCTGCTGCCTTGTTGCCCTGCCGGTGCTGGGGGGCTCCTCCCCATCCCCACACCAGGAGTTTCCTGCTCACCCCTTTTGGTTGGGAGCACATCCCATTGAGCAGTTTGGGGACTTGGGAAGAGTTCAGTTAAACAGAACCTCCTTAGGCAGCTTGTGCCCATTTTTCCTGCTACTGACCCCTTGGGGAAGTTAAAAGGAGGCATATTTGGTAGTGTATTATGCTCTTGTTAATCAAAGGTGCTATTTATGCCATTTGGGTTTCTGGGAAAAGTCTTCTAACTTTGAGGGGTAGCTTTATTTTAATACTTGACTGACCATGTATGGACACCCAACAGGCACTGCTTTTGTGGAGAGCTTGGAAATAATTATCCATTGTTCTGTTTTTCCTGTAGCATCTTAAATTATTTAGGAGCTTCAGAACAGTGTCTTTATTTGCAGCAGGTTTATGAGGCACTTAAATACAGAAGTCTCATGTATAGTTTGTTTTAATTTTTTATTTCAAAATTGATCCAAGTGTCTCTAAATATTTCTTTGCTGTGTGTACAGGCAAATATTGATGTTAAAAAGCATAAAATATAAGTGGATGTGGTTCTACTTCTCCTAGATACAGTGCGTCCCTCTGGGTCAGATGTACTGCAGACAAGCAGTGACAATATGGGCAATGTATGAGCCTATAAAAAAAAGTACATCCATTCATTAAAAATAGTCTGTTTGCCACTGCTAAATAATTTATTCAGTGTTTCCAAATATGAAAAAATTTCCACTGCGGCATTTGTCATATACATCAAGATTTTTTGATAGTGTCTTCATAGATCTGTCTGGAAATGAGATGTTCTCTTACTTGGCAGAATGAAGAACTACACTTAGTATTTACAATTTTGCTTAATAAGCACAGCAGGAGTGCTTTTTACTGCCATGAGAGATTGGCAGGACTTCCTAAGAGTGAATTCAGCCCTCTGAAAAGTGATGTAACTGTATTCCCAAAGAGTTAAGAGAACAGAAAAACTGGTATCTTGAATGAACAGAGTTACTTAAACCAGAACTAATGCATTTACTGAGTAACCCCGTATTGTCTTCTGCTTTTATATTGTTGTCCATCTTGTTACAAGCTGGTTAACCATGACTTTGATCAGCTCTGGGAGTTTTGAAGATCTCTCCTTCTGGGCTCAGTGTGACTTTAATCACAGTCTGGGGAATTCAGCAGGTAGCTCTTCTGGTGTTCGTACTGTGGTTCTTGTACCTGACTCCATCCTGGGTGATTATCCAGCCCCTCGGGGCAGGATGTTCTCTTCACTCTGTTCTCTTCACTCTGTGTCACATTGTAATCAAAGGGATGGAAGTACAAGAGAAGGATCACTAGAAGATGGCAGGGCAGGCAAGGAGGGAAGGTTGTAAATGGAACCTGACAGTTTAATGTAATAATAATTAAAAAAAACCCCGAGTCCACAGTCTGTTCTCTTTATTCTGTGAGGCCAGTCTCGGAGAGCTGGAAGCTGTCAGCGTGCTGCCCGTTGATGCGGATCTCCTTGTCAGTCCTCCTGGGGCTCTTGGAGTCAACTGCAGCCGGGAGCTCAGGCATAGTCTTGTCAAAGTTCTCCATCTGGATGTGGTACTCGCCTTGGGCATTGCGGGCCAGCACGGGGGCAAAGCGGTGGGACAGCAGGATCTCAGAGGGCAGGTAGGACGTTCTCCTTTGGCACGTTTCTCCCGTGCCCTCCTGCACAGCTGACAGGAAGATGACCAGCTCAAAGTGGTGAGGAGCTTCTCTCTGGAGGAGGGCAGCCAGCGGGCTGGATGGAGAGATGGAATGGTAGTAGGTCAGCGGGAAGATGAAGAAAGGACACTCGGCCGCACTAATGCTGTCGAGGTGGAAGTCGATGCTCGTTTGGTGCAGCTGCCCGTTCTCCTGCTCTTGGTACAGGATAGCGGAGATCTGGACGCTGGTCAGGGGCTGGAGCGAGTGTTGGCCACCTGGAACATAAGGTGTGGCTTTCCCTCGGGGTGTGTCACCACTGCAGAGCGTGTGAAGCGGATGGAGAACGCCCGGTTCTTCGGGCGGGCAATCTTGGCCACAAACGCACCTGGATCGCGGGAGAGAACAAGCTCAGCACCAACACAGGGCCTGGGGGCTTCCTGCAGCTCCCAGCTCCTCCAGACAGCCAAGGGAGCAGGAGCAGGCCTGGGGGGACATGCAGGCTGGAAGGACTGTGTTTGAGAACTGCTGGGTGGCACTGCACTAATCAGTTTGGGTTTTAAAAAGTGGAGTTGCCTAAAATGCTGCTTTTCCAAAGCTATGTTGTATTTGGGAGTGAACTGGAGCTGCAAGAAGAGCTGTCAGGTTGCCCCGAGTTACTGTAATTGGTAATATTACCTGACCTCGGTGTGTTACACCATAGAAGCTCTTTTTAATACACAGTAAACTAACCTGTCTATTTTTAAAGTATTTTGAATTACTTTAAACCTGAAAATTATTTAAATTAACTGAAAATATCTCAAAGTAGCTGTGACATTGTAAAATCTTCATTACATTGGGTACTGAGGAATACTTGAACGTTGAGTTAAAGATCAACAAGAATAGTTCAGCTAGACAAAACTATACCTTAAAAATCAAAACAAATAGACTTTAAATATTGTAATTATATGGAAAAAACTTGGAGAGGTAATGGTATAAGAAGTGATTGAGAGTGATAAGCAGGGATCTACCACAAGTATTGTCCAGGGAATAGCAGAACTCTGAAGTCCAGATCTTGATAGCAGCTAATTTATGTCTTTTGTTAGTGAAAGGTGTTTTAGTACTACATAGCTGGAATCTCACCATCCTTGCAGTGACTGCCTTGGTTGTTCTCCCATAAATCCAACTGATCAGTATTTGTAGCTCCATCCTCAAACCCAGTTGTTCCACCTGTTCTGTTTAAGGGTGGACTGGGAAGGCTTACCTGTGATGAAGGCTTCCAGCATGAGCCCCAGGACCATCTGGATTGCCAGCAGTGCGATGGCGCTGGGACAGTCCCCGCTGGGGAACATGGTGCCGTAGCCGATGGTGAGCTGTGTCTCCAGGGAGAAGGAGAAAGCGGCTGTAAAACTGGTGATGTACTTGACACAGATAGTGTGGTTGTCAGGAGGAGCATCGTGGTCCAGCTCCAGGTCCCCGTTCATCTCAGCCAGCAGGTACCAGAGCACTGCAAAGACCAGCCAGTGGAGGACAAAGGAAGCGGAGAAGACGAGCATCATCCACCTCCAGCGCATGTCCATGAGGATTCCCCAGGCGTCGCGCAGATAGGCCAGGCCTTTTCCCCGCGCCCCGTCCATCTGCAGGGTGCTGTGCCCGTCCTTGGTCACCATGCGCTGGTGCCGCTGGGCCAGCAGGGGAGCACTGGCTTTGGTGTTGTTGCTCTCCATCATGTCCGTTGTCATGGGCTGGGAAGGAGGGAAAGGGAACAGGAGGGAGACAATGCAGCATGTTTGTATTTTGCCTAACGCTCACAGGTTTTGACACATCAGCAGGGGTTGAAATACTGCAGCCAACAAAGGAGGGCTTATACATTGCAATCCAGAGAAGATTAAGTCAGGAGCCTGGAGAGGAATTTACCACTGTTTGTGGTAATACTTTGTTAAAAAAGATTAAGTTTAAAAATCTGACTACTTCTCAAATTTTCCTTACTTAGTTGTTTAAATATAACTTTCATACTTTACCTTCCTGAATGTACATTGGAGTCACATGGTTTAATTCTTTGGGGGTGAATGGGATGGGCTTAGCATACTGTGTCTGAAAAGAAACTTTGTTTTGTTTGATTATATCAGGGTTTGTAACTGTTCAGCAGAGTATAATTTACCATTACTATTGTGAATATTAGTAACAGTACTACCATGGAAATAATATTTATTCTTTTATTTCTCTGACACATTTATGCATTTTAGAGGAATGCTGTAGTTAAGCTAGTAGCTCTGTCAGACTTCCCTGGCTCTGGAAATGTCTGCACCCACCATGTCCAGTTAAACAGAATTACAGTATTCAGGGCAGAGCTGCTTCGGGGAGGCTGGGGCTGTTTATGTAAGGATCAGGTAAAAGGAGGGCAGGAGACCAATGCAGGAAATACACTGTGACATAATTTGCAGTCTAGTCTGTCTGAGCAGTGCCATTTTTATTATTAACCAAATAAGAAAATAGGACAGCAGGCATATGGGAGTTAAGGTGGAATTGCAAGTGTGGGAAGCAGATTGGCTTCCTGTAGGTAGTTGACATATTGGGCTCCTTCAGTTCCTTTTAAGCCTCAGAGCTTGCTGAATTTGCCAGAGGTGCTGAATGTCTTTTGAAGAGGCACTGGTCACTCAAATCCATAAATTTTAGAAATACTGGATGTTTATAGTTCACCTGGGGTTTATGTAAAATATAATTAATAACGTTTACCACCTGCTTAAATAAGGTTGTATTTAAAACAACATAGTATTTAAAAATACATCCAAATTCTGCAAATCATGATTATACAGGGGATATTTAGTCAGTTTTGGTTTCCTATCACTTTTGACCTTTCTCTGAATTAGACTATTTCAGTATGTAATGCACATTTCCAAACATCTGAGGAAGTGGATCTTTTTCCCTCCAAGAGTGCCATCTTAGTTTTCTTTTGAAGCACATTATATGTGAGGACACTGAACTTCAGAAGTTTATGGAAGGTAAAAACCTGTCTTGTGATCTTTGGTCCCATAAGCCAGCAGTTTCCATGACTTTATTTAATCTTCATACCAAATTTTACTAATTACAGAACATTCTCTTTTGCTTTCTGATGCTTAATTCCTACTGAGGTAGGAGGATTGACTTACTTAGCTAAATATGTCAGTATTTAGTTAGAGTGAATTAGAGTGAATATTTACCTAAATTTTCATTTTGCTTTCCTTCCCTTCTGTTATTACTGCTATTACTTCTATCCATGCTTTAGTCAAAGGAGGTAGAGTAGCTGATGGCCTGAGTGGAATTTAGTGGGTTTCCCCTCATTTTTGTTTTCTAGTTCACATCTCCTAGGAGGAATATTTGGAAATTGCTCCCTGTGCCAAAGAATACAGTGATCTCTGGTACCAGGCCGCTTTTCTTGGGCATTCTGGTCATAGTCCATTCTGATCAGAGCCCATTCAGCCCCCCTGCACTGAATTTGGTCTTTAATCTGCTGCATTGCTCCCTAAATGAGAGTCCTCACTATTGCTGCACTTTCACAGAGTTTACAGTGACCTGAACGCAATTAGAAGTGCTCCAGTAATCAGATGATAAGTGACTGGTCTGCAGAGCAGAGTCCTTGTGCTAAGATGTAGAGGAACCCTTCTGGATGCCTTGAAGGAGCTGGAAAACAGGCATCTCTGAATGGGAATGATGGTGGGAACCTGGCTTACAGCGAGCTGGGAGCAGTGCCTTGGTTTTACCAGCTTAGAATAAGCAGTACTGACAAGAAACACTTGCTTGTGTGAACAGAGGAGAACACTTAGAGAACAAAATGCCTCTGGGTGTAAACACCAAGCATTTTTGGGAAAAAAACCCAACCCCCCCCCAAACTTATGTGTTCCTGTAAATTCTCATGGTACTTGGAGGGCAACACCTTCTTTGTAGCCTCCGAGCAATTTAGGTTTGCAAAACAAACACATGTTGTGAGAATGAATCTGCTACTGACTGATTGGGGCCTGATCCTGCAGTGTTCCATCCACACATCTGTGCATTGGGGCCTGACTCTGCCCTGGGCCACACTTACATGCTTAATATGGTGCCTTTTCCCTGGCTGTGCTGCAGATGTCACAGTGCTGAAGTAGTGTGAGAGACAGCACCCCTCTCCCCCCTAGCAGCACATCTCAGAACAGGGCTGTGGCTCTCTCCTTGAGTCTCCTGGCTGGGGAGTGTGCCTGCAGAGCTTAACCAGGTTATACCCTAGTTCATTTGATACAGACCTGATTTTTATTGTCTAGGACTGTTTAAAATGTTGTGTGTCTAATTCAGTGGCAGTGATAGCAATGGAAATGTGTAAGCTTGAGTTCCAAAAGTGTTTTCTTGCAAACACCGTTGATGGCATTAAGAACCACGAGTCTCAACTTGCTGGGGTGAGAAAATGGGTAGGAAACTGTGAATAGGCTCTGAGAGCAAGGCAATTGGGTGAGAGAGGTGAAAGAACAACTGCCCTATGAGAAATCATTTACCCAGGCTGGAGGATCAGTCCTCTCAAAAGCAGAGACCACTTAAGAGCAGATGTGACTTTGAATTTCAAAAGAATTACTGTCTTCTCTCTGCTCCCTTTCTGCCCACTGTTAGTAAAACAAACCAACACCTGATCTGATCCCCTGCCTGGTACTGTCCCTGATGTCCCCAGGTAAATCCCAATCTCAAACAGTGTGGGTTTTAGGAACGGCACAACTCTGACTTGGAAAGAACAGTTCTGCATTGCTTGTTGGAGAATGCTTGTCTCCACTGGTACAGACATACTGCTTCTCCTCCAGATTGGTCCCCTCTTCTCTCTTAACCACCTCTGTTATGCTGTTCATTTGGTTCTGCCTTTCCTGGTTCCTGACTTGGGAAGCTTTGGGGTGTCCCTTTTCTTTCCATCTCCCAGCTGATAGCCCCTGACTGGAAAGACAGGAACTGTCACAAATTACTTTTCTAAACCTCTTTTGGCATGTTGACTAATCTTTTACCAGGCATTCATTCTGTCTAATCCTTCCTGTTGCCAGTCTGGTGAACACTAAATTATCACCAAGGCCAGTGTGTATGTCAGTTCTTAGCTTTTTCTGATTTTCCATCTTTTTACCACCTTGTTCCTCATCTTGGCTCCTTTCTTCTATACACTTTTCTAAAACCAGTCAGGGTAGGGTACACATGGACTTTTTAAATCAGAAGTCACAGGTTCCTGCCCCTAGCAGTGGGACAGGTTCTAAACTGACCTGGCTAGCTAATGATTTATGTGTAATAAAGCAGCTTTAGGTTGTAGGTATGCATTTCTGAAATGCATGATCCAGCACACTGATCTCCCACGCTTTGTCTTTTTGATTGAGATCTTCTTCCTGGTGGTGTAACAGTTTTTATTACATTCCTGTTCCATACCATCACGTTGCTTTCCTCTCCTCTTGCTTGGCCTTTTCCTTGGCAGCACAGACTCAGCTATTTTAGCTCAGGGTTGTAGGGGAATCAATTTGGAGCACTGTCTTCATTTCCTTTTCATTTGCCTTCTCAGGTGAAGGCATTTGAAGTGCCACTTCCAACCTGTTTTCAGCTCAGTACCCTGATGCACCTGTAGCCCTTTCAGGAGCCTGGGTGCCTTTAGGAGGAGCTGTGTTTGGGGGACACTTCTGAGTTGCTGCCCTGCCTGCCCATCTCCTGCCCTTAACAAACTGTTCTACCTGACCTTGGAGGGATTGCAGACAGTTTGTGCTGCGCTGCTTCCTCCTGACAGCAGAGCAGTCAAGAGGACCTGCTGTTTGCTGGGAGTGACTGCCAGAACTGCTTCCAACTGCAGCATAATGGGAAGACTTGCTAGAAGCAGGTGGTGGTGGCAGCATTGCCCTCTGGGAATGTGTACATTCCCTCTCTACTTGACCTGGGTCTGCATAATCACAGGCGAGTTAGAGATTCAAACATTGCTCTGAGCTGTACTCTCTCTCTGTGCTTTGCAATGAGAACAAACCCGAGACTAGAATTTTTTTGAAGACACTTCCATGCTATTAAAATGGTTATTTGTGTAGTGGTATTTTTTAGATTATTGTGTATTGTTGTCTGTGGGCTGAATGGCAACCTTTGGCTCTGACATTAATATTAGGGAACAAAGGTTTTTTTCGGTAGGGATGACATGATTGAATCATATAACTTACAGTAGGGGACAATTTTAGAAATATAGGAAGCAGGTCAGTTTCAGTAACTGGTTGAAAGCTTATGCTGCTGTTGTGAGCAGGACAGATAAGGTTTCAAACGTTTGTCCTTTAGATTTTGTAGTTGATGCCTCATTGAGATGAATGGGAATAGTTTGTGATAGAACTGTTGCTTCTGAGCAATTTGTAGAATTAAGGTAACACTTTCCAGGACTTGTTACATTTATAAGTAGGTCTTGTAAAAATGGGAGCTTGAATTTGTTGAGCCCAAGTCTCATTTTTCAAAGCAAGTGCCGCAAAGTCCAAGGTGTGAGAGCTTTTGATTTTCTGTGACAGCTTACTACAGAATTCACTTTAAAGAATAGTTTGAGACTATGTCTCCTTTCATAGCACAGAAAACAAGGCTGCCTATAGACTTGATTTTTGGGAATCCAAATTGTGCTCCATTTTGTGTATAAGGTATTTTCACAGTAGTACTCCGAGGACCCATATGAACACTTAATTCTTGATTATGAAGTAGCATCTGAGAGGACCAACTAGTCTGGCCACCTTTAGAGAAGCAGAAAAACTTAACATTTAAGCAAAGTCTCGGGAAAGGCTTTAAAATATGCTAGCATGTATTAATTCCTTATAAAGAAACAAAAGTGCAAAATGAAATCTTGCCAATGGAGGAGTCGTCTGAGAGTTAGGAGGGAGGATTGTATTCGATGTGAAGCGGTAGCACTACAGGTCTGCTGCCACCCATGCCTGTGGAGTGAGCTGTGCTGGAGGAGCAGTCCTGCCCTGTGTGGTGCAGAGTTCCCCAGGGCTTGCCTGGAGGGACTGGTTTTCCAGGCTGGTGGAGTTCCCTCGATGCCTGGGTGTGGTTTCCTGTGCTGGCTCAATGTGTCCCTGAGCACAGGGATGCACTGACTGGAAACCATTGAAGGTGGGAGATAGAGATGGTAAATCAGGCTTGAGCAGATGAAGTGAAATGCTGAGTGATGATGAATGCAGCAAGGTGGGCAGGATGTTATCCTGACTCTTGACCAGTCTCTTAACACCCAGCTACCTGAGCTGGAGACTTGCAACTGCTCCCTGTCTGCAGAGCATTGCAGAGTCTTTCCAGCACTGCTTCTCTCAAAAATGTTCTGCAAAAGTACTGTATAATGCCTTTGATTTTGCTTTGTGAACCCTTAGGACTGTGGACACCTGAGAAAGCATTTTCTTCTTTTGAGGGGGGAAAATCAAATAATTTTTTTTAAGGTCATAATTAATTTAGTATGCTTTAGAAATAAAACCCTCTCCCCTGATAACTACTTGGATTTCTTCGATTAAAGAATGACAGAGCAATTTCAAATTGTACAATAAGAAAAAGGGGAAAAATATGGTTTTGTTTACTTACCAGTCTTTGAAGAGTTGTGTGCAGGAGGAAGGGGTAACCTGGGCTCCAGGAGAGTGACTGGGCTGCTCTGCTGTATTGGTCCCACCACTGGCAAGAAACTTCCCACAAGTGGCTGGTAGAGATTTAAAAAAACCCACCAAAACCCTTTAAAAATGGGTTTGTGTGTCTCGTTCCTGTGTTTATAGTGCTGGGGGGCTGGTTTTCCTCTGAAGCTGATTTGATTGGTCATTTTGCCTGCAGGGGGGCCGGTTAGCTCTGATCATGTGGAAAAGAATGCTGGTTTGTTAGGAGCCTTTCTTTACCCAACACAAACCCTTAGCGGCCAAGGAGAAATCCTCCAACACTTACTTGGAGAAGGGCTGCCTTCCCCCTCACCTCCTTCATCAAGATCATTTTTTAGGTTTGTATAATCCTAAAGCTTTACATGAAAGTTGAAAAGGCCAAAATTCTCTGGGAAAAGTCGAATGGAGAAGTTCCTGTATTGCTGCTGAAAACCCCCACACTGTTCTCTGATACTTTCTCTCTAACCAGTGTCAACTGCTGTTTGTTTAGGTGAGGAGAGAAACTCTGGTGTGTCCCTGCTGCTCTGCAGTGCCACTGGTTCCTCTGGGGTTGGTCTGGAGCGTTGGCGTTACCAGGAGGGGGTTCTGAGCCCCTCCTGCTGCTCAGAAATACAGAGCTGGCCATGGCCACACTGCTCCTCTGTGGGAACGTGGAATTAGTCCCAGCACTCTGTACAGCCTACAGTGAATGCTACAGATGAGAGGGCTTGCTGATGGCTGTGGCAAACCAAGCCACTTTCACTGAAGCTCTTGCTTCTCAGATGGGAAGAGTTTTGTGCTTTAGCTGAGTGGCTGCAGAGCTGCACTGCTAAACCAGCTCTGAGGACAGCTCTGGAACACAAGAGTAGTTCACACTTCTTTTTTTTTTCCCCATGGTGAACTGCTGATGTGAGGGCTTTGATCGAACGTCACATGTAAGAGGATCTGAGAAACAAAGGCTGTGGTTGTTTGCAGTAAAACTACTGAAGGCCTGCTGGGAAAATTATTAATGTAGACTTTCCTGCTTAGGAAACAAAATCCTCCCTTTTTTTTTTTTTTTTTCACTTTAACCTTCCCCCAGCCCTAAATTGCAAAACATTAAATTCTTTGCTTCATTAGTATGGAATATTTTAATACACGTTCAGGCATAGCACCAATAGGCGTAGTGTGACCTTCAGAACCAGAATAACGTGGTGCAAGGGGGCTCCCACCACTGTGGCAACCCAGGAGGACAATGTCACCCTTCCTGTATACCCCAGCAAAGCTGGCCTTCAACTACAGCCTGTCTCTCTTATTCACAAGAGGGATCCTTATTGCAAACAGTATTTTCATACAAACCATGTTTTGTCCTGTAGAAAGCACTGGTGTCTGGTCACAGGTTTTCCAATCTGACTCAACTGAATGAACTGGAAATCTGACACAATTGTGCAGCAGATTAAATAGGTACAGTATGTGATTTCCAGGTGTGTTTGAGAATTAAGATCTTGTTAATTCCTTTGAATCTACTTGTTCACCCATACCTATGACAATGGATAATGGTCAATTCAGTGGGAAAAATGTGGAGTGATGTTTGAGTCATATGTTTTTGAGACCTACTGGTGAGGTTGAGATTTTATGGAGAGAGAGAATGTGAAACTAGAAATGGGATTCAGAACTTCTGATCCCTGTCACTGATAGTCACTTCCTGATGTTTGTATTCCTGATGTAGTGTCCCTAGTCCATTGGTGTCCCTTCCCTTGGCATTGCACAGCTGTGGCTTTTTTTGGCTGGCTACCACCAGGCTCTGTCTGAAGTTTGCTGTAAACACCACTGCTGGCTTTGTGACAGGCTCGAACAGAGGTGCCCTTTTACTGCTCCTTCTCTTCAGGAAGTCCAGGCAATTAGTCCAAGGCAAAACCAGAGATTGCATTTTGGTTTCTTTCATCCTTAAAATGCTGCCAAGTACTGATTCTTTGACCTAAGTCATTTCAGCTGAATGATTGTTCTCCAGTCTAGGAACAGTTTGCAGAGGCTGTGCCAGACCTTTAGAAGGTATGGATTTAGCTGTAGTTCAGCTGTAGGAGTACCCCTGTACTCAGTTTGTCATAGTCTTTCTGTCACTTGGGTCACTTCATTTTTCTGATCTTAACCTGTGACCGGTTTGTGTTTGTAAAGAACCAGATTCTTGGCTGATCTATCTTGATCTTCAGGATCATCTCATGCCAGACCTGTTTTGACACATGCCTTGCTGTCCTTGACTGTTGCTTGCTGTGGTGTCCTAGCACCAGAAACCTGAGGATGTTGTGATACACTGCATTTTTTCTCTTTATTCCCCTGGAGGGTGACATCAGAACAGTCTCAGAGGTGACACACTGAAGTGCTGCTGTGTTTACCAAGGTTTTGGAATCACAGGTGATCCCATCCTCAGATGAATATAAAACTGACTGCTTACAACTGATTTTTTTCCATTTCTACATTTCTAACTCTAGAATCAGAGGAGGTGCAGGTTTCCACTCATGTCTGATCTTGGCAAACAGCATTTGATGTTTTGTCCCCTCTGCAGAGACGTGTTTGAAACACTGTTTTCTGCAAGTTCAGAATACAAACCTGACCTGGATGGTTCAGTTCTGGGGAGGAGAACCAACTACCTTAAGGACTAACAGAACCTGAGCTGCCTTGGTGGTGCCTATAGCACAAATACATGTGCAGAGGGGCTAAAGCACATGGATATACGGTGGCAAAGTAGACTCCACAATATTTTTGAAGTGACTTTCCCCCCCACCCGGTGTTTTTGGAAGAGCAGAACAGAGCCTGTGAGCTGATGGGTTGGCAAAGAGCAGTCTCCAGAATCAATTGAGATCGATAACAGTGGAAAGGAATAACATCTTTCTTTTTCTTAATTAGTAGACTCTAAAATATCTCAAATTAATGTTACTGAATAAGTGTCAAGTAATAGCTGTGTTTTTACAAAAATAGCGGATAAATCTGAAGATTTGTTTTTCTTGTCTCAAAATGGTGATTTGAATAACTTACCTTTTGGTAACTTTGATTTTAGTGAGATAAAACAAGTGTCTTGTGCTGCAGAATAAAAAAATTTGAAGGGTTTCCAGAAAATATTGAGCTGGAGAAAGAAAAAAGGATGTTTTTTCCCTCCAGTGTTTTGAGCTGGTGGAGAAGGGGGATGTTGATTTTTCTCCAAGATCTGTGCCAAGTCCAAAGCCAGTGTGTGTTTCTTGTCTCCAGAGGGCAGTGTTTCTAGGTAGGAAGAGTTTTCAAGTTCTGATATGCTGTAGAATTTCAGATACTGTTTCTTAATTTTTTTCACTGAAAAAGCTGCCTGATGGGCAGAAAGGGAAATGCATTCTGCTGTCCTTCCTTAACTAAATTCTTTAAAATGTCCCTTTCCACCCCAGGAGTCTTAGAGCATAATCATGCTTTATTTTGTTTATCCTAAGCAAGCAGGCACCAAATACCATCTTACATTTTTTCATTTTGAGACTCTTAAGAAGGAAAATTCAGTATACCTTTCTCTAGTACTTGAATACTATTGAATATTAATAGATAACAAGACAATTTTAGGTTAACACTGGGTGTTAACCTTATCAGTTACAAAGTGGCATTGCTGTGGTTCCTGTAAGAGTTTGGTGCTAAACAGTTGAACATAGTGAAAGAAATGCAAAATCCAGAAGTCCTCAGGCTGGTGCTGTCAGTTGTTTCAGTGGTGCTGGATCTTGTCAGGGTGAATCAGCAGTGAAAGCAGCATCTGTGTTTAGCCTGGGCATAGTGGTGTGTGATGTGGTGGATGTATTGGTGTATAATGGAGAGCCTTTTTATAAAAATATTTATATCATCCTTTTCTGACAGTCCTGCTCCTCATTTAGTACTTGAGGATTTTATGTTTTGTTTTAAACACAACATGAAGTAAATTGGGAACTAAAAGACTATCCTGAACTTTTTCTAGACTTGTCCTTGAGCCTTGAGCATAATTGCTTCTACCTCCCCCCACACTGACCCAGGGGATGGATTCACAGCATAATGTTAACAGTGTCAAGTTTTTTGTTGTTCCTCAATCCTACTTTAAACTTCCGGTGTTTCCTAAAACATGGCAATGTTGGATTAGATGTAGAGATCTCACATTCTTTTTGTTGCAGCAGTAGCAAATGTTTGGTTTATATATTGTTTACAGTTTGCTGCTCTCCCACTTTCCTTTAGCATGAGACTTTTCACTATAGAGCAGTTTATTCTTCTGTTACACTTCCTTACATCTCCTAAACTGCCTTTTCCTCCTCTGTCTTTCCTATTCATGTTCTAATTTCTTGTATGCTTTGCTTACTTCTGGTGTGCTTTTTATTTCCTCAGTCTTTCCATCCCAAGGTACATAGGGACCCGGATTTCCTAAATCTGTCATGTTTCCTTCCTGAAACTTCCATTCCTCTCCTAGGTTCCTAAAACCAGTTCTGGTGTGGTTTTGCCTCCAAGGGAGCAGGATTTTCAACCCTTTTGCTTCTGTGTTCCTAAAGACAGAACACATATTCAGTGGCCTGTGTTTACTTTGCAGTGAGACCAAACTTTGAGGAAGGTGGGACAGCGACAGCGGGGAGGAAACACGAATTTATCCGCTCTGAGAGCGAGAACTGGCGCATCTTCCGGGAGGAGCAGAACGGGGAGGACGAGGACGGAGGCTGGAGACTGGCTGGGTCCCGCAGGGACGGCGAGAGGTGGCGGCCCCACAGCCCAGGTGAGAGGGCAGCTGCCAGAAAGGCAGCCCTGCTTACAGAGAAGGGGCAGGGGGAATCAGGGCTTGAGGAAAGGGAGGTCCCGAGTTCGAGACAAAACTCGGTGAGGTTCGTGTGGTTTGGGCCACGAAATGCTGCTCTGGCCTGCAGGGCACTCTGCAAAACGATCAGCATAAAATCATGTGCTTTGGTTTTCTTCTGAACATCTTCCATACCCTTACCTACGTATTTTGCAGGTATGCCCTTGTCTGTGCTGTGTTCCAGGCGTGTGTGTACCTGGTAGAAGCAGGGTTTTTTAGTAATACCGTTTCTTT